AGGATTTCGATGATCAACGGGACGACAGGTGATACAGGTGACAGGTGATGCCAGCATTTGTCGCCACAATCTCTTCTAAGCACTAATTTCACTACTTTCTTGAGGCTTAATATCTTCCTGAATACGCCGAACTTCGCGTTTCTCACGCTTGGTGCTATTCTGAACTATCACTTTTATCATTCGCCTGAAACTAGGTACCTCTAAATCATCGTGAACTATGCCTTCAAATGAAGAATTTGTGGCAATTGTGACCAACCGTTCCTACAACCGGTATCTGTTGACGTTAATGGTAGATTTTTCTAATTTTTGTAGAGAACGATATAGCAAACTTCTTAAATTCTAGTATCTTGACCTGTCGATGTAATCGCCCAGAAACAAATAGGAGCAGTCAGGAGGGTAGCCGCATCGATTGAATATCCGAAGCAAATCGGAATATTGGCCATGTATATCGCCACAGACCTGAATGTAGCAGCTGAGCTCCTTTCGAGAGCAGCGTCCTGCGCCATGCAGCTTCCCTATTTGATAAACTAGGAACAGTACATTTACAGGCGCTTCTATTTCGACCATTGTGTCTTGCTCAAGCACAATTTGAGTACAGAGTTCTGCGGCTTCTCTTATAAGTTCCTCGGTGGTTGTGTAAGTGAGAGAGGGATTTGCCGTGTCATTAACTGAAAAAGATTGTACAATGGATTGTTCTGCATACATAATTTTTAGCCACTATTCCGATGATCACAGGTCGCCCTCGTTTGTCTATCTCGCCATTTTCGAGCCTCCGATGGCAATGCTGTATCGAGCATGACGATGACAAACAGAACAGGGAATCTGCCAAAAAAGAAAATCCACTAAAACTGTCATGTACTAGTTCTGAAACGCGATTTGATGCAGATGGTTTTCCTGTTTGCGCATTACATAGCCCGGGCCGAGAATGCTCAGGTAGCTACCAGGCGTGTGCATAGCTCGCAAGTTTGATTGTGAGTCTACTGTACTTGTGGTTGTTCCATTTACCGAAATCGAGGGAGAGAAAATGTTGGTTACTCAATGATGCGAGCCAGAGCGATGGAGTTCGAGAGCCTCGAACTGCCCAGAAGGTCAACAGGTCAGTCAGGCTCACTCCGATAGCGTGTATATCTATATCTCTATATGCATCGTTGGAATACTGGTACTTCCGAGCTATGAGTCAGCGAAGGGCGGAACTGAGGACTATAGATTAGTATGCTTCTATGAGTGTTCTGTGAGGACCTGGTAGGTCAGCTACATTAGGTAGATCCATCAACAGGGTTTCCGCATTGCTGAATTAACATTCTATAACCTGCTGATAATTTCTGTGTGCACTTCCTTGTTGGTCGGTGGAAGCGACAAGCCGATCTGATGGGTGAGATGAGTGAGTAGATTGCTACGAACACAGCCCACTAAACCCTACCACCTGTTCTTACAACCCAGCTGATTTTCTTCCATGCTATCCGAAAATTCTTCAGTATATGAAACTAACAGATTTGCCAACGAAAAACCTATGTGCTGGGCTAGTAGCAGCCCTTATGAAAGTTCCAAATTCTTGATCGGTGTAGACCGGCTGGGATCGGAGACGCGATCTAATCTCTGACCATATCCAGACCATAAGGTAAACTTCATAAGTTTTCTGCTGAGAACATCGAAATTCGTTCCCCGGCTGATCATACCATAGAGGAGGTGAGGCTTTCTCTGATGAACTTCTTGAAGCACCTAACCGATGGTAGGTGTGCTGCCTTTCGTCACTAGTTCCTATCTGTTTTCCAAAGAAAGCGTGAATTAGGCGGGTGACATACCTGATAAAAGGTTATCGACGAGTCCTGCGATTTTTGGGTTGATCATGAAGTAATATAGTTATTCACCACTCACTATGTCTGCAAAACTAAAAATGAGGTTGTGGGAATTGTTCATGAGAGTTGCTGATATTCGTTGTTATTTTGAAAGCATGTGATAAATAAATTCTTTGATATCAAGCTTGGTACACAGTACACGGTAAAACAGGGGAATGACGTTATAGAAGCAGATTTCAAACTTCGAAGCTTTTCTTTTGCTTTTCACGCTCTTCTTCCCTCTGCTCTCTCAAAGCTGCTACCTACCACCTATTGCTTCAACTTGTGAAGATTTATCCCAAGCGAGACTTGTATATTTATGAAGCTGGCATCTATTGCCAGGAATCTGAGGGAACATTCAGGAATAAAATTATTATAATTGTAGAGACTGAGATGTTCACTCTGAGAGGTGCTCACTTCTAATTGTCGTGGAACTGTAGAGCATATTCCTTATAATGTTTGTGGAATCAGTACTTTCGATTCTTAGATTCTCCGACATGGATGTTATCAAAGTCATGTCTCAAAATGTCGATATTCACATTTTTTATTCCTAAAACGTGAACAGAGGTTCATGGTTCAAGATTCGCCCTTCTTCTCGTAGCTGCTCTACCTTACGATAGTCGCCATCGTGAAGGTGTTCTCGCAGGAAGCGGTCGATCTTGAGTTGAATCTCCTAAATCACTAATGAGGAAACTGGGAAATTCGGCACATCACTTACTACGAGTTGCTGTTTGGTTTATATACTTTCTGATGGATGCAATTCAGCAAAATCTATATTTTGTGTGCAAGCTTAGCAGTGATGGTCATCCTACCCTTTTAGCGCTACAGCTGGCAGCAATTGCCATGAATGTGAGGGAACATTCAAGGATGAACTTATTCTAATTGTATAGACTGAAATGTTCCCTGTTAACCTACCGTGAAAAAAAGTTTCGAAGTTCCGGTCAAACACACACCTACAAACCGATAGATACACCTAGGCAAAATTTACATTTTGGCAGCAGGATATTGGCATCTTTAGGTTATTACTTTCATCTTCATTCGTCATACTCATTATTCACCCTCACAGAGAACAACTCGCGGAAATACCGTACCGCTATGAGGAATGTGTGCTCGCCTGTTTAGACAGAGCTCCAAAAAGACTATCAAAGCTGAGCCCCTGGGGCTATCAAACCCTCTTACTTATTATCAGAGACAAGGTTGATCAGGACATCGGAATAATTCCATCGCAGCAAAAAAAAGTATCGCAAAAATTGAAGAAGTCTGTATAATGAGAGTATTGAAATATTGCATACTTTCGGTACACAGTGGTGCTTGGCAAGGTGTTCAGATCTAATATCGCCATGACACAAATACACACACCAGTCGGGTCCAACGGCTCACGCCGGACTTCATTACTTACACTTAGAAAGTAGTTAGAAAATGTAGTTAGGGGGAGGGCATCGCTTTTATCCAACACGGAGGGGTAGAGTGCAGAAAAGGAGGGGTAGCTGAAATCGCTGCTTAGAGACGGTACTAGATGGAAGGGTATAGTTTTTACCTGAGCCTCAGAAGGAGAGGAGCACCATGCTGGAGATTAGATGATTGCCTCGTACAAAAAGCTAGGATGGGGTATGCGTTGAATAGCTAACCTGCCTCGGTGCTCCTTCCCTCTTGAAGCCCAGGCCGATAATTGTAAATTCTTGGTTAAGAAACGCTTTCGAGCACAATTATGGGTGAACATCCTCATCTGCGCTCTAGCTCCCAATGTTAAAAAAAGTGGACGATCACCTACAATTTTTGTGTACACATACGTACATAGCACGATACCAGTAGAGACAGAAATCACACTTTGGAAGTCTCCAATGCACTCCACATTACTCACTTTACTACGCAACTCACTCTACTCCATTAACCTACCCACCAAGTCACTGCTTTATATATAGAAGGAAATGTAGCCGAATAGAGCTGGTAGAGAATACAGAGTTCTCCATATCACTACCTTTAACGTAATCATAAGGTTTCATGGACGGACAAGCCGACAAACACACAAAATGGCAAGCCGTTACACTTACTTACTGCTTCATAATTAAGGGGGATGAGAGTAATTTTGAGTAATGACTGATTTTCAAACCTGTCTTGTTGCTCTGTTTCTTCTTGCAACTTTGATGATCCTCAATAGCTCTTGTCGGTCCTTAGATGAGCGCAAAAACCTGAACACGGTATGTTCGAGACAAATGAGTACATTCTTTAGCTGAAGCTACTAGTTTGACGCTACTTTGTCGTCGTCAGTTCTATTTTCCTGCATTCACTGTTTGAAGTCCATTCCAAAAAGGACAGTTCGGATTGGGGATGGTTTGAAACACGCTAACGTTAACGCGGTACACATATGCCCCGCGTTTTGCAGACCACGTGCGGCAACGCAGGACACCTGTGTCCCGAGCTCAGTTCGCAATTTTTTTTGCGCATGCGTGATTTATTAATATGTCTTTTGTGTTTATATTACAGATCAAGCAGCAACAAAGCTAAAAGCAGAATGGTCCATAGAATGATCAGGTATGCTTCATCCTTACACAGAATTACTAAGTCTCAGTCACAATTTCGGGTCTACTTCGAAATTCGACATTTATATTGAGATCAACAAGCAAGAAAAATGAAAACATTGAGAGCAAGCTGTAGAATTCAAGTTTAAACAGCATCGAAGAGTTGTATTTCTAGGCATGACATGATTTGTGCTTTCTATTAATGCAGTTAACGCAGAAAATATCTTCTTGTATCTACCAAAACGAGTGTTCACGCTTCTTGCTCTATTCGTGGCCGCCGATCGTCCCTGTTCTTTGCACATTATAGCGTAACATCCTAAAAATATTCTACTGAGAGCTTTTGGGAACGGCAAATCCTTCAGTACATGCCTCGCTGACTGGAACAGACGAGCTGGTTGTACTCTCGTACTTGACATGGAAATGAATCGATCACGTCTATTTTGAAGTCGTTTGATCAAGCAGTCTTGATTACGTCCCTGTACAGTTTCCATGCATTCACATGTGCTATTTATGTCATCAAGTAGAAAAAATTCTTTGTACCATTTCGCTGTTTTACGCACAAATGGAGTGTATGCTGCCATCTGGTTGGACACGTCAACAAAAGATTTCATTTCTTTGCAATTCTCTACAACTGTCGGCTTCGACGACAATCCGATCGCAGCGTCGTGCTTTGTAGAGGTCATATGCAAGTCCCTATTGTGTCTCTATTTGAGCACCAAAATGCCATTTTGTTTTTGTTTGCAGCATACCTGACCTCTCCTCAATTTTTTTATCTTTGATCAATTTCGGGATCCCTTTCCTGTTCCTTCTCGAAGTGCCAACTAGATGAGTTCGTCTTGAAAACAGCTTCTCCGCAGGACCGATAGTAGAGCAGTAGTTGTCTATGCACAGAATGCGTCCTTTATCAAAAAAAATCTTCCATTAGCCGCATAACGGCTTTGTCGGCGAGCGGTTCCTTTCTTGACGGGTCTCTATCAGCGTAGATGCTTATCCTTACTGTATATCCACCCTTGCTGCCTAGCTTGGATAGCACTTCTGCACATGTCTGATTTTGTTTAGTCGGTCGCCATCAAAGGTATCGTTGTCTGCTGTATGTATTATGGTTACTTCGACACCTCTTCAAACCGGATCCTTTTCATAACCTTGCCAGCTTGGCCACCGAGACAAGGTCGTGAGTTTCATTTTTTCGAATCCCGTAGTGGTTGGTTTCTCTACAATGAAGTCCAGAATCTCTTGATTCAGAAACAGTTCGTAGAAGTCTACTGGCTCTTGACAGTCATAAACAGCATCATGTAAGCCGAAGACACCACTAAAAGTCCCAGCATCGTGCGGCGAAGCATCGCTTGACCAC